GAACTTAAATGGTAGTTTCCCAAAATTAGGGGTACCCTTTTGGGGGTCCCCATAATAAGGCTTAGAGTATTTTGGGGTCTATATTGGGGTCCCCTTATTTTGGGAAACTACCAAATTAAGTTACCATAATGTGGGTCTATGGTAGATAATAGGGCTTCCTTCTAATGGTGAATTACTTTAAGTGTCTTAACAGCAACCCAGATTCCATTGAGGGGACGCAAGAAACCTCAAAGGTTGGCCCACTGATGAGCAGCTTGCCATTCGAAACAATCCATTTGCGAGCGCCTTCGAGACCTCTTGAAAGCCTGGGTTGCTGTTAAGGAACTTAAATTAAGTTACCATAATGGGTATATACAGTAAATAATAGGGCTTCCCCAATATAGTAACTTAGTTTAAGTTCCTTAACTCCCTATATTCCCCAGTTTTCCATTTCATTTTCCATTTTCTTTTCCATTTGATTCTCCATTATAGGGGGATAATATAGTAACTTAAGCAACCCAGAAGCTTGTATTCAACTTCCATCATCGGCTCGGGACCCATCATCATGGTTGATATGCCAGGCTTCACAGACAAGGCATCAAACGGAGCCAAGACTGCGTCTGCGCCGGAGGACGCAGAAAAACTAAGATTATTCACGACTTTGGCGTGAATCTGGTAGGAATCCTCCGGGCACGCCATAACTTTCAAGATGACGGCCTTCTGATCCATGCTCTTGGCTAAGGGGTACTCCCCAAGCTCTGGACCGACCATCATTTGCTCAATCTCCCATAATCCTTCAAAAACCTTGTCAGACTTTAAGGGCTCTCGCGTGCAAATCGCTGGCGGGTTCCTGGGCTGCTGCTAAGGAAAGTTACTGAAGTTACTAGAATAAGGAAACCCCTATTATTTACTACAGGCCCATACGATGGCAACTATAGACCCATATTCTGATAGCTATAGACCCATATTCCGGTACTGTAACTTGAATCAAGCTCCTTAAAAGCAACCCAGATTCTTAAAGTCAATACGGAAAGTGTCGCCATCTTTGCCGGCCTGGACCAGCGGGAAAACCTGGGCATGTCCCATGCGCCGCGCTGCAAACGCTGGACCGAGACACCGCCCATTCCTGTGTTGCTGTTAAGAACTTAAAACTATGGGTTACCAAAAATAAGGGTATATGGGGGGTAATCATGTAGGGGGTATTTAGGGTTTGGGCTTAGGGTTTTGGCTGTGAAGGAGCCTTAGATTATGTGATATCATCCCCCTATAGTGGAAAATCAAATGGAAAAGAACATGGAAAACAAAATGGCCACTGGGTTCAGGGTTTAGGGTTGCTGTCAAGGAACTGTTACTATAATGAGGGTACAGGGGTATATGGGCATAAGTACGGTTTAGGGTTTAGAGTTACGACTTTAACAGCCTGGGTTGCTGTTAAGGAACTTAATAATATAAGTTGCGTAGTATGGAGGTTTAATAGGGATAATGGAGAATTAGAATCGAAACTACTATTTAGGGTTTAGGGTTGCCTGTAAAAAAAATAAATGCAGCCACAATACCATGATATGGGTCTGTAGCTATCATATTATGGATGTATAGTTACAATAGCATGCGTCTATAGTAAATAATGGGGTTTCCTTGCTATAGCAATTTGATTTGAGTTCCTTAATAGCAAGCCAGGAGCTGGTACACAGTCAAAGTCAGCGCTTGCTCGGACATCTCTACTAAAATGCCAATCACCGCGCCCTTGGACACCTCCTCACCAAACTGCGTCTTGAGTGCCGCAGAGCCGTTCGACAAATTCCCGGGCCCACCAAACAGCAAGCCCTTGCACTTGTAGCCCTGCGCGAAGTTCTCCATACTCCCAATACCAATGAAGGGCCCGTCGCCGGACAATTCCTTCAGGGGCTTTCTAGTCCGCTACTGTACACTTCATCCCGCAAGTTGCTGAAGCCTTGCACAGCTAGCCAAAGCACATTGCAATGGACCCCTGTTCTCATGGGTTCAACTAGTACCCCCCTCTATACTACCCCTCCCTAGGTTCCCCCCTTAATTAAAGTTGTTTGGTGATAATTAAGGTTATTAAGGGGGAACCTAGGCGGGGGGTAGTATAGAGCGGGGTACTAATTGAACCCATAATTTTCCCGTCCTGGCATGTTACCTCAAAGTACTGACCGGAAGAAAGCGGAATCGTGCCCAACGAGTTTACAGGCGATCCTCTAGAAGGCTTGCCAGTGATCGTGAAAGCACCATCAGGCAAGTTTTTGACAGCGTTGGAGCCGTCATCACCTTTGTTGCTTCTCTGTTCAGTCCTCGTCGTTGCAAAGGATTTTGAGGCTTCTGGGAAGTGAGGGTTTTTTTTTGCGGCTACCTGGTATAGCATTTCGGGGATGTTAGTGAGACTCTGGAAATGCACATTTGGTAGTTCCCCTGAATGGGAAAACCAAATATGCACCCCAACATACTAGAAAGACCCCCAGGATGGAACCCCTAGTTGAACCCTACAGAACCCTTATATCTCCTTTCAAAGTACCCCCAAGTTTGAGAAAACCCCAAAATATCCCTAAACCCTAAACCCTTATATATCCTTTCAAAGTTCCCCTTAAAGTATCCTGAGGCAAGGGGCGCCAAGCAGCCGCGCACTGCGTGGCGGTAAGCGGAATCCCAGCGGCTGGCGTCCTCTGCGTGAAGCGGTTTAGGGTTTAGGCATTAAGGGTTTAGGGTTTAGGCATTTAGGGTTTAGGGTGTAGGCATTTCTCTAAGGGATTTGGAACCC